ATTTCACTCAGTTGAGGAATCATGAAAAGGCTTAGGCAATAATCCCCCTGTCTGGTGGTGGTCTGGGACACTGGGGACTGAAACACTGGGGCTGAAACACTGGGGACTGAAACACTGGGGGGCTGAAACACTGGGGGCTGGAACACTGGGGGCTGAAACACTGGGGAAACATTGGGGACTGAAACACTGGGGGGCTGAAACACTGGGGACTGGAACACTGGGGGCTGAAACACTGGGGGCTGGAACACTGGGGGCTGGAACACTGGGGGCTGGAACACTGGGGGCTGAAACACTAGGGGCTGAAACAATGGGGGCTGAAACAATGGGGGCTGAAACACTGGGGGCTGGAACACTGGGAGCTGAAACACTAGGGGCTTACCTAAATCCTCTCTATGATGAGCTTAACTTGTAATGTGTAAGTCATTTCTACTCTTGTTTCCACGTTGTTTTAACATTAATTTCTCTCCAAAACAAGACTTCAGATGACAATTTTAAATACTGTTATGTTCTGACTTCGGGTTAGTTCACCACCACCACCGTCACCACACTCTTCCACCACCACCACACTCTTCCACCACCACTTTCCACCACCACCACCACCACACTCTTCCACCACCACCACTCTTCCACCACCACCTCCACCACCACCACACTCTTCCACCACCACCACCACCACACTCCACCACCACCACCACAACTCTTCCACCACCACCACCACCACACTCCACCACCACCACACCCACCACCACCACCACCACACTCCACCACTACCACCACACTCTTCCACCACCTCCACCACCACACCTTCCACACCCCACCTCCACCACACTCCACCACCTCCACCTCCACCACACCCACCACCACCACCACCACACCCACCACCTCCACCACCACCACCACACCACCACTTCACCACCACCACCCCCACCACCACACTCCACCACCACCACCACCACCTCCACCACACCACACCCACCACCACCACCACACCCACCACCTCCACCACACCCACCACCACCACCACCACCACACCCACCACCACCACCACCACACTCCACCACCACCGCCTCCACCTCCACCACACTCCACCACCACACTTCACCACCACCACCACCACACTCCACCACCACACCACCACCTCCACCACCACACCCACCACCACCACCACCACCACCACACCCACCACCACCACCACCACCTCCACCACACACCCACCACACACCACCACACTCCACCACCACCACCACCACCACCACCACCACTCACCTCCACCTCCACCACACTCCACCACCACACTCCTCCACCACCACCACCACCACCACACTTCATCACATACACATTCACTACATTATCTCTATTGTATTACCACATTATAACCACTAATCCCTCACATCTCTAGTCCAGTTACTGATATAAATCACTGATAATTACTAATACTCCTTATCATAAATTAACATCGCTATTCTTTTAGTATACAGTATTACCATATAGGACCAGTGTAGCCAAACCTGCGACACATCTCTCAACTGTTTATATCGCCACTAGAATATGATACTTCGATTATAAAACCTAAATTGATTCTGGCAATATTTTGATGGGGTGACTCAACAGCTGGTCCTTCCTGCGTGGTAGTTATCTGGTTCATTTATATAACATTAAGTCCTCCGCCGTCTAGTAGGAGTCGTAAAAAAAAAAGTTATATGCAGAGGGATTTAGAAGTATAAGAGGGTTGTAAAGGGCTTATCACCACTCCTGTCTCTGGCCTGGTGATGAGGGAAGCTGTTGATGGTGATAGTGGTGATGGTGATGGTGGTGATGGTGATAGTGGTGATGGTGATAGTGGTGGTGGTGGTGATAATGGTGGTGGTGATAGTGGTGGTGGTGGTGATAGTGGTGGTGGTGGTGATAATGGTGGTGGTGATAATGGTGGTGGTGATAGTGGTGATGGTGATAATGGTGGTGATAGTGGTGGTGGTGGTGGTGATAATGGTGGTGGTGATAGTTGGTGGTGATAGTGGTGAAGATGATCATGGTGACACAAAGTGGTGATAATAGTGATAGTTATTAATTGTACTATATAATTCATCTGGCATCATAAAGCACGTACTCACATGACGCCGTTCACCCAACAAATTATTTTCCATTTAAAAATAATAATGAAAAAAACACATTATACTTAAAAGATTATAAAACAACTTTACATCTTTCAGGAGGCGGCCAGCTTACTTGATAAGCTTAAAAAACACCATCCAAGAGCCCAAGCTTACCATCACCCCCCCAGAGTCCCCTAAATTGGGCCATTCAACCAGCACCAATTCAACCCTTCAGATGGCAATGGGGTAATTGGGTAGTTTATTCACTCTAACTTCAGATGAATTTATTCACCTTAGGAAGGGTCTCTGTCCCCTACAGGGTTAATAGTCAAGGGGGCCAGACAGCCACATGTCAGGCTAGAGTGCCCTATAAGGTAAGGACAGTCTCTCATCTCTACAGCATTCAGGCATAAGTCCCAGAGCTTGTTTGGACCGTGAAGCAGTGTCATGCCAACAACACCGTCAGGCATTACATACAGTAGTTCTAATCCCAAGACGCATAAGACCGACGTAAGACAGTTGAAGTATGGGAACTAGACAGGAAGCAGCGGTCGTTTACATGAAATATACCATCATCAACACTGACAGTATCTGAAGTAGTGTTAAAGAGAGCATTGATAAAAGAAGTAGCGCCAGTAACAGCAGTAACATAAGTAGCATCTATAACAGCATTAGATAACATGGAAAGTAGCGTCCCTCTCAGATATAGGTACAGTAGCATCAACAGTAACAAAAGGTAGCATAGGGAACGATGACTACGGTAGATATAAAAAAATATATATATAACAGTACAGGTATAGACAGCACCAGGAGCAATGGGCCACTGTAGAGATAGAGGCAATGATAAAAGCAACAACAACAACAACAACACAAGCACCACCACCATTTAGAGCACCGGATGTCACACACCAACACTACAATGGTGAGGGAGATGGAGGGGAGTCATAGTATCCTGGCTCCAGAGATAAAGGAGGAGTCGAGCCAAGTGTCTGGAGGGGAGGAGCCGAGGGGGAGGGGTGGAGCCGACGGGGGTTGAGGCGAGGGGGGGGGAGAAGGAAGTTGCGGGGGAGGAGAGGGGGTGGCCAGCGCCTTCACTGCGGTACCCCGCCTGCACGGTCGATACAACAAACGTACAAACACAGTGCCTTTAGCAAGTACCACTACACCCGCGGCACTCTACCAAACACCACTATCATCACCCATTGTGTAGGAGGGAGGTGGTGCGTGGGAGGAAGTGTGTCAGCGTGGGAGGAAGTGTGTCAGCGTGGGAGGAAGTGTGTCAGCGTGGGAGGAAGTGTGTCAGCGTGAAAAGTGTGGGGGGGGGAGGGGATAATCAAGTGTGGGAGGCAGCGTAACAGTAGGAATATAGTGGCAGGCGTTGTGTAAGTGTGTGTAGTAGTGGAGGAGTGTGGGAGGCAGTGTGTGTGTGTGTGTGTGTGTGTGTGTGGCAATCCAAGAGTCAAGGCATCACACTCTGGCTCTCAGCTTCCAACACATGCCACGGGGTTCCTCAGTAGTAGTAGTAGTGACGGTGGCAGTTGGCGGCAGTGACGGTTAGTGGCGGTTGGTGGCAGTGGCGGTTAGTGGCGGTTGGTGGCGACGTTCATTAAACATTATTTTTTTTCTTTATTAAATGTTTGTTAATTCCAAAACGAGCGTAAATTGTCCCTAGACTTTTGTTCTGTCTGGCTACAAGCAGCACCATCCATTAGTTTTGGGACTCCACGCAAAGCCGGAACTAGAACAAGCGCGAAAATAAACAGAAAAACTGATAACCAGTGAGTGAAGCCTGGAAGGTGTGTTAGGGGGTGGGGGGTGGGGGTTGTGGGGTAGGGGGTTGGGAGAAGGAGGGGGTAGGGGGGGGTGGAGAATAAATACGGGGTTAAGGAAGAAATTATATAACAAACATTTCCACTTAACACATATTCTAAACCCGTGTTCGCCAGCGGCCATTTTTTTTTTACCTACCACCAGCGGCTATCTTAACTTAAAAAACAAAACAAAACACAAAATTTAGTGTGTGTTATTATCATTATTATCCTCTGATACTGTGATAAAATTTAATGAGCAATAACGTGATATTAAGGGCAAACAGGAGAGAGAGAGAGAGAGAGAGAGAGAGAGAGAGAGAGAGAGAGGCCAGTAGTAGGAAAATAAAAAAGAACAATAAAAAAGGAAGGAAGGAAGGAAAGAAGGAAGGACACATTCTATACCGCATACTATACCAGTTGTACCAGTGATGCTCTACCGGGGATACTTTACCGAAAGCAATGAATGAAGACTGATGTACCGGTGATGCTGTGACGGTGATGTTGTACCGGTGACGCTGTGACGGTGATGCTGTGACGGTGACGCTGTGACGGTGATGCTGTGACGGTGATGTTGTGATGGTGATGCTGTGACGGTGATGCTGTGACGGTGATGTTGTGACGGTGATGCTGTGACGGTGAGGTTGTGACGGTGACGCTGTGACGGTGACGGTTTATTACAAGTTATTGATAATTTTTACAATGGTTGGGACTGGGCTGTTCTTATAGCGACCAGTTCGTGCACGTATGGGCTGGATGCGGTTGTGGTGTCGAACAGCAATTCTCGGACTAGGGATCTCAGGTGGTAGTAGGAGCCGGTGTCGAGGATGGTGTAGAAGCTTCTTACCAAATTTGCAGATGAGGTCGTGGTGATGGTCAGTGAGAGTCGAAAGGTGTGTGTGTGTGTGTGTGTGTGTGTGTGTGTGGTCAATACTCTTTCCTCTGTACACGGGTCAATCTGGGTAGCTTCTATTGCGTTCTGATATAAAGTGACGTCAGTGAGTTATAATGAAAAGTGACATAAGGAAGCTCCGATGAAGAGAGAGACACTGGAGAAATGAAGAAAATTGCAGTTAGCTCAGAAAAGTGACGGAAGATGATAAACGTAATGGGAACAATGAAAAAAAAGCGAGATATATTAAAAAAGTAATGTGGGAAATGGAAAAAAATAATAATACCTAGGAAAATAGTACAGGTAGACATGATGAGTAAAAGTACCCAAGAAAAGTGACATCAACTCATCACAGACATAAATAACAAGACATTTAATAACTCAAGAGACATACACGTGTTATTAGAGTCACGTGTTAGAGGCGGCAATGAAGAACTCGAAGAATTCATTTACGTAAAGGTAATACACTCAAAGGGTACAACAGGGTGCCGGGAGCGTGAAGCGTTAAAGAAGCGTAAAGCATTAATGAATCCTCTTGGTACATATTGCCTGACGCTTATTAATACGGTGTTATGATGAAAATATTCCTCGTTAATGAAAAAAAATAATCATGTACCTAAAGGGTTGGTTTAAGATGTAAGAAAAAACGTCAAGAAATAACACCGAGAATTTATCGTAACTAGAGACATTTAGCTAAGAACAAATTAAAAGACAAAGTTAATGCTACAGATTTTTTTTCTAAGGTCATCTACTTTACTGGTGTTAAGTAAATGTATCTACTTAAGGTCCAGTGTTAATGTAAACTTAGTGTTATTTATGAATGTTAGTTTGTGAGCTTATTTCATTGAGTTATGTAAAATATTAAACATCCAGTAATGAGAAATACACGTCGGGGAAACCACTAATAATGTGATCCCATCAGACCTGAATACTGCTACTATATTTTGGTTAAGGTCTACACGAGACATCTATGATTATCAGTTACACGAGTTGTACAAGGACACACGAGGGGGAGGGGCAAACACGGAGGGGAGGGGGACACACGAGGGGGGAGAGGAACACGGAGGGGAGGAGGACAC